GTATTTTCCTGGAAGATATTTTGAAAACTTGGGAAATGCCGCTCATTAATTATATATAATATATATTTAAATATATTTCACAATTATATGCCACATGATAATGTTATTAAGGTATACACAAATATTTAAAAACATACATGTAGTTAAGTGTTTCGTTTAATTGAAAATTTATAGATATCGTACTTTGATTATTCAAGTATATTTCAAAATTTTAATATTGCACTAAAAATACTGTAATTATATCATAACAATATTCTGATATTTTACTATGATATTTAGTACAATGGTGCGATTTTAGTGTATTTAAGATTTACCTTTATAATATCAACCTTGTTAATTAGTTTTTAGTGCAAAAATTGACCTATAAAATAGCATATATTTCTAACAAATAATAAGATCACCACTAAAAAGTTTAAGTTTATGTTTTAAATTATTAATATTTTATAAATAATTATTAAATATGAAATTCTTAATAGCATTGATGTGTGGATTAGTTTGTATTGTGAGCGCAGACTATAGTAAAGAGGACTACAAAGCGGTCGCAACGTCCCGGGACTTTACGGGTTCTGTGGTTGTAGTGACCGGTTCCTCGTCGGGCATCGGAGAGGGAATCGTTAAACTGTTCTCAATATTAGGGGCTAATGTTGTGGTCACCGGAAGGAAAGCACAGGACGTTCAACGAGTGGCCAAAGAGGTACAGGAGTTGTCACCACTAAAACTGAAGGTGTATATCATTATAATTATAATTATAATTTATAATTATATTCTAAATATAAAATCAATTTATGTTATAAATAATTAATTTTTAACAGCCATTAGAAGTTGTGGGAGATTTGACCAAAACCTCTGATATAAACAATTTAATCGATTCTACGGTCAAAACGTTTGGTAAAATTGATGTATTAGTCAATAACGCCGGTATATATCCAGAAACAAACATCACTCAATCAGATCTATTATCAGTTTGGGATCAAGTATTTGCTGTTGATTTACGCGCTGTCGTAGAACTCATCCACCGATCGGTTCCACATCTGGAGAAAACCAACGGAACTATTATTGATATCTCAAGTGTCTTATCTCTTGCACCGGTATGTATTACAACTAGACCAGGAGAGGGAATCGTTAAACTGTTCTCAATATTAGGGGCTAATGTTGTGGTCACCGGAAGGAAAGCACAGGACGTTCAACGAGTTTCCAAAGAGGTCCAGGAGTTGTCACCACTAAAACTGAAGGTATATATCATTATAATTATAATTATAATTTACAATTATATTCTAAATATAAAATCAATTTATGTTATAAATAATTAATTTTTAACAGCCATTAGAAGTTGTGGGAGATTTGACCAAAACCTCTGATATAAACAATTTAATTGATTCTACGGTCAAAACGTTTGGTAAAATCGATGTATTGGTCAATAACGCCGGTATATATCCAGAAACAAATATCACACAACCGGATCTGTTATCAGTTTGGGATCAGGTATTTGCCGTCGATTTACGCGCTGTCGTAGAACTCATCCACCGATCGGTTCCACATCTGGAGAAAACCAACGGAACTATTATTGATATCTCAAGTGTCTTATCTCTTGCACCGGTATGTATTACAACTAGACCAGATGTCCAGAAATGGCCTGGATTGTCCCAAAATTAGATAGCCTGTCCAGAATTTTAAAAATATTTTAAACATTAAGTCTATGGAGACGTCCAGGATAATATAGCTAAAATTAGTCAAATGTCCAGGAATTCAGGATAATAGGGCTGATTTTTGCTCAAAATCCAAGGTTGTCATAAACTCATCTGGTCAGTCTAATTACAACTGTTAGACATATCGCGGTTATTAATAATATACGTAGAACTTATTAAGAATAATATATTCTGATGGCATGTATTAGATTTTATAGCCATATAGAAAATACTGACTGAAAATTGAGTACAATCTCTCAATAATTAATCAATTGTATCTAATTAATAATTATTTATTTTGTGTAAAATATACATTAAACTTATAATAATTTTTATTAGACAAAAACTATGTTAGCTTATGCACCGGCTAAAGCAGGTCTGGATATGTTGACCAAAATATTAGCCCTGGAATTGGGGCCCAAAGGTATTCGTGTTAATACTGTTAAGTAAGTACTATTAATATTGTCAATGTTATCAATATAACCGCATCTACTGTATGTATATCTCACTCAATCATTATCATTGTTGTCAATAGTCCGGGTACTATACAGAACAGAGACATTCTGACACCCATTGAAAAGCTATCGGCCAAATACACGCCATTGGGAAGAGTGGGTCAACCCCTAGACATCGCCCGTGCGGTCGCATTCCTGGCCTCCACTGACGCACACTTTATTACCGGCGCTAATGTTGTGGTCGACGGCGGCTTTGTATATAATTTGGGTGTTGGAAATACATTGTAAACTTTGTCAATCAAACATGGTGTTAATGTTAGTAGATTATTAACACATAATTATATATTTACAAAATTCCTACTAAATGTAGTGTAAAAAAGCATAACTTATGAAGCAATATTTATAAAAATTTATAATTAATACAGTATTGTATTGTATTACTTTTAATTAATAAATAATTAAAACTTATGATGTTAATAAACTTACTTATTTTAATAAAAACAGTATTCATTTAATTACTATTAACTTTATCATTTATTTAACAATACTTCACAATCAAAATGTAAAATCATATAAATTGTTTAATATGTTTTTAATAACAAATTTTATTAAGATTAATTATAAAATAAAAGTATAATTAATATTGTTTTTAATTATAAAATGTTTAAAACTTTAGTTTCATTATTTAAATCAATAATCATGTCATTTATAGTGAGTTTGAGTAAAAAAATTGTAACCCAATTGTTAGTCCAATTATTCAATATCTCATAGATTTCAATGATTTTAAAACAATGTTAAAAAATTAATTAAATATTTTAAATATTATAATAAATATTTAGATATATTTCAAAATCATATGTTATATGTTTACTAACTTTCCATTTGATGTCTCATTTTTATATGAAATAATATATAAAACTTAATCATTGATTGCATTGCATTCAATTAACCCTTAATTTTTAGTTTTACGTTTATTTACTGCAAATGCTATGATTATTAATCATTGATTAATATAAAAATGAGACATCAAATAAAAAGTTAAATCATATCATAATGTTATTAGATATACTATATTTAAAAAACATAGTTAAGTGGTTTGTTGAATTGAGAAATAAATCTAATTTATAGATATCGTAAAATAATATTTAATATAGTAGTTTGATTAATCAAGTATATTTCAAAATTATTAATTTTAATTTTGCACTAATTTTAATCTTAAGAATTATATCACAACAATACTGTAATATTTTACTATGATATTTTAAATATTCTAGTATGATTCTAGTGCAATTCTAGTGTATTTGATATTTACCCGTACTAATGTATAATAGTACATTCAATCAAGTACTGTAGTATTTTTAGTGCAAAATATTTAGCTATAAAATAGCACTTATTTTCAACGAATAATAAGATCTTCACTAAACTTATATTTTGAATTATAATATTTTTTTTAAAATATAATTATCAAATATGAAATTCTTAATAGCATTGATGTGTGGATTGGTTTGTATTGTGAGCGCAGACTATCCTATAGAGGACTACAAAGCGGTCGCAAAGTCCCGGGACTTTACAGGTTCTGTGGTTGTAGTGACCGGTTCCTCGTCGGGCATCGGAGAGGGAATCGTTAAACTGTTCTCAATATTAGGGGCTAATGTTGTGGTCACCGGAAGGACAGCACAGGACGTTCAACGAGTGGCCAAAGAGGTCCAGGAATTGTCACCACTAAAACTGAAGGTATGTTAAATAGAAATTCAAATTTTAAAATTAAGTAATTTACTAACAAAAATAATCATTTTCTAACAGCCATTAGAAGTTGTGGGAGATTTGACCAAAACCTCTGATGTAAACAATTTAATCGATTCTACGGTCAAAACGTTTAGCAAAATCGATGTATTGGTCAATAACGCCGGTATATATCCGCAGACAAACATCACTCAAACGGATCTGTTGTCAGTTTGGGATCAGATATTTGCCGTCGATTTACGCGCTGTCGTAGAACTCATCCACCGATCGGTTCCACATCTGGAGAAAACCAACGGAACTATAATTGATATCTCAAGTGTGGCCTCACTCGCACCGGTATGTTTTAAATGATGCTTATTTTGTTATTTATAAAATATCAGTAATAACTTATATAAGCAATTCTATGAATATACATGTACATGATTTTATAAGTTCGAGCACTTAATAAGTTTATAGTATAAAGCTTTATTACAATAACAATTGTTATTCTTTAAAATTTTATATAAACTAACTTTTCATTCGTTTTTAACCACAATTCAGTATGAATAATGTGGTTTA